AGCCCGCTTAAAGGAAATGACATGGGAGTACTGGTAACATATCTTTCTAGAGGAAAAATATGCCATTTCAATTACGTATCCCTCACTCTCTTATTTCTTTTATCCCCTTTTTTGGACTCGTTAAAGTCTGCTCAATCTTACATAGTTTCTTTACAAATAAATTGGGTTGCTCTTGGATGCTCTTAGTCAAGATAGCACTTCCTGCTTTAAGATAACAGTTTCCATTATATGTTTTCTTTTAAGGCATAAGCCATTCGGGGTTTTTAGTTGAGGTGTTTTCTTGAAGAAATGGTTGTAAGCTGATAGTGCTCTTGATTGCGCTAGGGATTATCACTGTGGACTTATTGGTTATGTACCAAAGAAAAAGGCTCAACCGTCAACAACACCCCAGGTTTTACCTGAATCTCGTCAGAAGCATGGTGCATATCAGTCTGTTTTAATGACTAAAAACTCTCCCAGTGCAACCAGTACAGAAGCGTCAAGGCCGGACAATCTACCAAGAACTTTCCATCAAAGCTATAAACAAGGTAGAATTCACATGAGTTTGTGTGCTACAGCCAATCACATCATGTACTTTGTTATAGCGAGTAAATTGCAGTGCTTGCTTTTATCATGACCTTTTTGCGCATAACAATTTTTTCCTTGTCAGTGCCCGTATTCCCTCATAAGAGGAAAGAGCGTGATCACCCAACTGAACCTGAAAATTTGAAACAAAAGGACAGAGGAAATGTCAATATTACTAACACAATGGTATGTATCCTTGTGTGAACTCTCCTGTATGTCCGTTTTGAAATCAGCAATCACTTTCGTCAAATGCTTTGCTGCATCATTTAAGCCTGCTATGGTTGACCATCCTTGAATTTCCATGTTGCATATTTTAAAATTAGATTGATAAGCTAATCTTCATTGTGCTTTTCTATCATAATGTAAATTTCTATAACCTTGCAGTTATCATTTGTTTCTATCTTGTTGCACTTTGGCTGTTATCTATTCTACACCTCTATTTTAATTTTTGTTTTTTCTTTCCATAGTTTATATACTCGTTCTAAAATCAAACGTGAGAAATTATTTATCAAAAAAATGAATAAATCTTTTTAAAAAAAAAAAAAAAAAAAAGAATAAATCAAACTTGGAAACAAAGAATGGTATCACAGAAGGGGAAATTTTGGTACGGACAAGTTTTGTAACTATTGGGCATGAGTGATCTTTCCTGTTTCACTTGGCAACCCCCAAAGGGATTATATTAGAAATCACTTCAAGAAGGCAAAAGAATTTGAAGAAACTTGAACTTCTCCATTTTGAATTGGTCTCACTGCACACATATCATGAGTTATAAGCTTTGGATGAGACCTATTGGCTTTTATCTATTTATTTATTTCTATAACCTGTTTCCACGACACATTTTAATATGGGTCTGTTCTATATTTTCTTTTTATTTATTTTGCTTCAATTTTTTTTCATGTAGCCTGTCGGTGCTGCTGCTAGTTACTTGGGAGGTGAAGAGGCTGCCAACCTGCTTGAAGAAAACCAAAAACTTCGTGCTCAGTAAGTTGCAGTTAATTATATTTTGTATCAAACTCGTCCATATGATTCAACAATGCGGAACAACTATGTCCTCGCATAATGCTAAACAGCTAGTTATGTTTAATTTATTACTCCAAGAAGTCTCACTTGAGATGTTCGCTCGATGGAATTTCATGTGCTTCTACTTCAATATTGCAGGTGCTCGGAACATGAGAAGTGGGTGGATGAGCTTAATGCTAAGGTAAGTCTAATTTGCTTGTATTCCTATACTGAACAAATCAAACCATATAGAGCTGAGCCGGTGAAAAGCGGGTGTTTGTACAATCATTATTGTGTGGACCATACTATCAAATAATGTACATTCAGTACACAAATAATGTACTTTTAGTATATTAAAAATGTACATTATATTCACGGAGGTACATTATTTGAGTACTGAAAGTACATTATTTTGTATAATGTACATTCAGTACACGAATAATGTACTTTTAGTATATTAAAAATGTACTTTTTGTTATGGTCCACACAATAATTTGCCGGGGTGTTTGTGTGACTGAACAAATCAAACCATATAGAGCTGATCCAATGAAAAGCGGGTGTTTGTGTGATTGGGTATCGGGTTACTGATTGATTGGTGAAGCGTGAACAAACTAAGTAATTTGTATTATGCAGGTGCTTCTCGTTCGAAAGCAACTAAAAGAAACACAGAAGGAATATGGTCGATTGCTGCTCGATTTGAAACTATTGGAAAAGGAAAAAATCAAACGGGAAAGCTAACAATAGTGTATTAGTGTTGTTTAGATAGGGCAACTTTCTTGCTCTTCTCGTGAGCTCTTGTAAATGATTTATGTATTTTAATGGCAGTTTAGGGACACTTTTGTAGAGTTTAATGTACCCACTAGACTTTTGTTGTTTGTGTGTTGTTCATTGCAGGCCAGCCAGCCAGAACTGTATCTCAAATCCTCCCTCCTTGTAGGGAAATTTTCAACCCAAAAGGGAAAAAGAAAAATCTAAGGAAATTTTTTCATTTTCTTTCTTTTGAGTACTTACAATTTCATTGTTAATGGTGCTGCACTGCTGCTTCTGTAAACATATTGAGAGTGATAGATTTCTTCCTTCCTCTATTTTTTTTTTTGTTTTTTTTTTAATTTGTTTTTGTTGTATGTGGATTGTGTATAGTGAATTTTGTTGACTGTTTTAAGCGGAGAGCATTATTAGTGGTTTATAGAAAAATATTTTGTAAATTAATTATTTAGTTTTAACTTGTAACATATAAAATAAAAATGAATATTATAAATTTAATTTTAAAAAGTATTTATTTTATAAATTTATGTGCTTGATTGAGACAAATGTACGAAGTAAATAGGTTTTAAATTTAAAATTTTTTTATTAGGTAAATTTTTTTTTGAAACCTTTTCACACGAGTCTTAATTCATGGAACATTATGATGTGGATTGTGGTTCACATAGTTGTGTGGATCATGGTCTAAAATAACGAACTCATAAAGTATATTATTCTAACTTAAAATACATTATCTTACTTAGAACGTTCATTATTTTAATTCAAAAAGTACATTATTATAACACAAAATATATTATTTTATTTCAAAAGGTTTATTATTCTAACACAAAAATTATAAAGTACAATATCAAGTGGCTTGTGGTCTATTGGTATCCGATTGCTTTCGTATGTGGGAGATTTAAGGTTTGAGCCTTATTGTAAGCATAGGTTGTTGTGTGGGTATTCCTTTTCTTTTGTAATAAAAATAAAATAAAATTATAATGCTAACACATAAACGGCTACAGCAAATACCGTTATTGACCTACGGATTTTTTTTTAACACCAAAACGATGTCATTTTGAGTCGTGGTCCCACAGCTGTGTGGACCATGATCCAGACAATAATTTGCTTTAATTCATGGTACGAATCAGTCGTTATATCGTGCACCAGGGCGCACAGCGCACAATGCATTGTGCGCCCTGAGCAAAACGACGTCGTTTGTATTGTTCAGATTTTATGTGTATTATGTTAAGAGTTTATGTATATTCTGTTATGAGTTTATGTGTATTATGCTATATTATGTGTATTCTGTTATGAGTTTATGTGTATTATACTATTATGTTAAATTATGTGTATTCTGTTATGAATTTATCTGTATTATGTTATGAGTTTATCTGTATTATGTATTACGTTAGATTATGTGTATTCTGTTATGAGTTTATGTATATTTGTATTATGTTAGATTATGTGTATTCTGTTTTGAGTTTATGTGTATTATGTATTATGTTAGATTATATGTATTCTGTTATGAGTTTGTGTACATTCGAAATAGAGAATTTTTTTTTTTTAATTTAACGGTAAAAACAGGAAACAGAATTTCTAGAAAAGAACATAGTCAAAACAACGTCGTTTTGGTCAGGGCGCACAATGCATTATGTGCCCTGGACACGATATATTTGCCGGAACGGATCATGTTAAGAGAATTGGGCCTTATAATATATAAGCTTAATAATATTATTTGTTCTGTTTGGCCCATTCTCACCATTTAGATATGGGCTTCCTTTGGGCTCATTATTAGTACTTAGGCAAATTATACTGTGGACTATGATCTATAAAGCAAAACGACTTTGTATTATTTTAATTACATTTTAATTTCTTTGATAATATTGCTCTGTTTTTTAATTTTATTTTTTACGTACATTAGTTTCATTATAGTAACATTAAAGTATTATTTTAATTATACTACAATTTCATTTGACATTATATGTTATTGCATGAGCTTTGTTTTTTAATTTTATTTTCAACACATGCTATTTTTATTTTAACAATACTAAAGTATCATTTTAACTCTACTACATTTTCATTTGGCAACCGTATTGGATTATGGTCCACATAACATTGTGTGAACTATGGTCTATTGTATAAAAAATTGTAGTATTTATTTGCCCATTTTTAGGCTCATTTTGTTTGGCCCATTTTCCTAAAAGCTCAATCAAATTATTTCGTGCAAGCTATCTATTATTGTTTTGTTATAAAGTATTATGTTTATGTTATACAGTATTATATATAAAGCTTAAAGCAATAATCATATATGCAACTTTGCTATGTAATACACTTTATTTCCTGCAAATTATCGATTATAGTTTTTTTCTATAAAATATAACATTTATGCTATAAAGTATTATATATAAGGTTTAAAGTATTGATTATATAATGTATGGGTATCCCCCTTCCTTTGTAATAAAAAAAAAGTATTGATTATATTTATAATTCTGTTATGTTACTACTTTATTATATGCAAAATGTGAATTACATTATGCTATAAAGTATTATATATAAAGTTTAAAGTATTAATTATATCTGCAATTTTGTTATGTTATTACTTTATTTCCTGCAAATTATCTATTACAGTTTTGTTATAAAGTACTGCATTTATGATATAAAGTATTATATATCAGGGTTAAAGTATTAATTATATATGTATTCTTTTATGTTATTAATTTATTTCTTGCAAATTGTTTATTACGGAGTACAATTTTGTTATAAAGTATTACATTTATATTATAAAGTATTATATATAAAGTTTAACGTATTGATTATATATGCAATTATGCTATGTTATTACTTTTTTTTTTTTTTAAGTACTACTAACTCGTTTACAATATAATATCAGTTCATATAAATTTTCTCAGCCTATTTATGTAAGTGTGTAGTTAGTTGTTGGACTGGCATGCAATATTGTAGTTATTTATCATGTGCACTTCAGTTTGTTTTTGTGTTGAGGATCACTAAACTCCAACATTTGTTCTGTTTTTGCTTTTTCTAAATTGTAATGCTTCTTTTCATTTTGAATACTTCTATTATATTCCTAAATTATTCTACCATTTTAATTAGGTCAAATATAATTAGTACACCTTACACATATAATAATGTAGGAAATAATTCAGTATTTACTTAAAGTTGGTACATGGTGCGTGGGAGGATAAACTAGTTAGGGAGACCTCATATATTAGAGGTGGTTACGGTTCACGACCGAATTGAACCAGTCCTGAATCGGTCCAGAAAAAGTTAGACCTGGACTTCATCGGATCTAGGTCGGGTTTAGCTTGGACCTGAACTGGCTAGTAATGGGTCAGTTTAGGTCCTATTAAAAAAATTCGAGGCCCAGCTTGAAACTAACTCAGGATCGAGGCCAAGAACAGCCCAAGCCCATAACTGGCCCAAGCACGGATTAGGTCCAGACCCATGCCCAGACTTTGGCACATATGTGTTTGAATTATTAAATAAAGTGCTTTTAATTTTTGTTAGATAATATGCTTCTTTCAATACTATATCTATAGTTCATTTACTTGAAACCTTACATTTACTTGTTAATTGTCAATTATTGCACTCATGTTAAATTTATGTGTTTAATAAGGACATCAGACTGATCAAAGTTTGAGTGCTTTTGTTGAACCAATTAGAAAATGTACTAAAAATTGAAGCATGTGCTCCATCTCAACTAAAAGTCTAAGCTAATAGTTGGATTGCACATTAATGGCTATATGCCATATACCAAATTGAAGCATGTGCTCCATCTCAACTAAAAGCCTAAGCTAATAGTTGGGTTGCACATTAATGGCTATATGCTCAACACTAAATGATTTAGATACAATAGAAAAAAAAAATGATTTTAAAATATTGTGTGCACATGGTTTAAAGAAAAAAGTCATTATAGTTTATATACACCTACTCAGTAAAATTTTATATGTAAAATGTTATGTGAAATTGCTCTATATCATGAGGTAATAACTATTTTGTATAATAGTCACCAAACTAGTGACGCTAGCCTAATTACAGCTATGTGAATTTTGATTCCTCTAAATTATTGATGATGATACGTATGAATCTTAACGCGTATATGTGTGTGTGTGTGTGTGTGTGTGTGTGTGTGTGTGTGTGTGTGTGTGTGTGTGTGTATATATATATATATATATATATATATATATATATATATATATATATATATATAAAGTGATCAGGTGTGTGTGGTGCTTCCCGTGCGGTTGTGCGGGTGAGCTCACATTAAGCATTATACTGGCGTACTTTAAGTACATAACAGACGCACATTAACCCCACACAAACAAAATACATTCACAACACAAACTCACGGACCTTAAGCACAAAACTCACGCATCTTAAGCACAACCCTTGCGCACCTTAAGCACAAAAACTCATGCACCTTAAGCACAAAAATACACGCACCTTAAGTTTTAACAACAACTCACATTAAGTACGCACTCACGCACATTAAGTACAAAACTCACGCACCTTAAGCACAAGACTCACGCACATTAAGCACACAACTCATGCACTTTAAAGTTTCAACAACAACTCACATTAAGTACACACTCACGCACATTAAGCACACAACTCATGCACCTTAGGCACAAAACTCACGCACCTTAGGCACAAAACTCACGCACCTTAAGTACAAAACTCACGCACATTAAGCACTACACACTCACACACATTAAACACAAACCTCACGCACCTTAAGCACAAGACTCATGCACATTAATCACCCGCATAACCGCACGGGAAGCATTCACCCGCACTGAAACTTAAACATATATATATATATATATATATATATATATATATATATATATATATATATATATATATATATATATATATATATATTAATTAGCATTATTGAATCAAAAAGTTGAAGTTCGGGGTGAGCAAAATATCGGTTAACCGCTAACCGACCGAAAAAATCGATTATCGATCGGTTTCGGTTATTGCTATAAAAAAATTTCAATTTTTCAGTATTTCGATTATTTTACGATTTTAGTGTGTCGGTTATCTGTCGGTGACCGATAACCGAGTTACATATATATATATATATATATATATATATATATATATATATATATATATATATATATATATATATATATATATAGTGTTTGAGTTTCAGACTTTCAGACTAATAGTCCATCTCCAGCCAAATATCTAATAATTTATTAGCACAATTAATAGAAAATACCAATCTCCTAATTCCCTAAACACAATGGAGAACCTCAAAGTCAGAACGCTACGATTAAGGTTTGGTGGGAATGAAAACTAAAACTCTTACAGAACGTTTGGTTCACGGAATGAATTTGGAGGGAATAAGAATGTTATTCCATAGGGAATGGAATATGTAAGGAATAGAATAGGAATTGTATTCTGTTGTTTGGTTGGCTGAAGGAATAGACTTTAGTAACAGTATTCCAGTGTTTGGTTGGTTAAAGGAATAGAAATGGAATAGGTTTTAAAGACATAAATACCCTTATACAAAAAAATAATAAAAATAATAAATATGATTATGATATACTGAATGTTATATATATATATATATATATATATATATATATATATATATATATATATATATATATATATATATATATATATATATATATATATATATATATATATATATATATATATATATATATATATATTTATATTTATATACTTATATATTTATTTATATTTATATTTATTTTCCCACTTATCCCACATCGGTTGGAGAAGTAAAGAATGGAGTCTTGATGCTCCTATAAAAGGAGCCTCAAGGCTCCATAATTTCAATTGCAATGCTCATCCGCTAGGCAAGCTTGCAATGCCCATCTGCTAGGCATGCAGATGAGCATGCTACTTAATATAGGAGCCAAGGCTCCATAATTTAGGAGTCTTATACAGTTAATTTTTTTATTTACTATATATATATATATATATATATATAATAAACTGTCAAGGGTGTTTTGAGAAAAATACTTTTCTTTTTCTAAAATGCCAATTGCAAATGCTGCAAAATGTGTATGTGTATATATATATATATATATATATATATATATATATATATATATATATATATATATATATATATATATTTTGATGGATAAAAATTATAATTAATTAAATATAGACATTTATATAATACATTATATTTATTAAATGAATATAAATATTATATAATGTGCAAATGGTATTTTTGGTATTTGTGATATAAAAGCTATTCCCAAGGGCATGGGAATAGCTAATACCAAGGCCCCCCCTAGGAATGGCTATTCCCCTTGCGAAGGTAATAGCTCATTCCTAGGAATGTTATTCCATTCCTGACCTATTCCATGAACCAAACATGCCATTAATTCCCTTATGCGAATCTGCTTCTCCATTCAACTATTCCGCAGCCACAGCCCACAGACGACGCACAACGATTCTCCGATCCATTGTCTCCTGTAACACCTCCCCCCCCCCCCCCCCCCCCAAAAAAAAAAAAAAAAACAAGGCCCAATTGAAGCCCTAACACAAGCAGATTAACAACAAAACTAGCACAGCGGAAGATAAACGGAAACTGGATAACAGAAATCCAAAAAGGGGTGTTATGCCACGTATACCATACTAGGTAACGCTAAGGCAACAATCTGCAAGTGTATAATACTATCCCAATACATCAATCTAAAACAGTCTAAAAACATTGGCGCACAGGCCACAAAAACACAAAGGTGCTAAGCTACCAGGCTCTAGACATCGAAAAAAAACATTGGGACGACGCCCGGTCAGCGAATAATGCTGGTAACCCACCAATACCGTTAAGTATCATAAATAGGTAGATATAAGATATAAAAACCATTTTCGAAACGGAATACATATATATAAGTCAAAAGCCAAGATCACCAGTCAACACAAGACTCATCACTCTCAAGACCACACGGGAACACATCCCAAACCACAAAGGTTAACCACACACAAGGATAAAGACTCACCCAACGGCAACACATGCCAAAACAACGCAAGCCTCCGTGACTACACACGTCACGAGAGAAGATCACACAACGCCGGCTTTACAAGCCCTCGCAACATCACCCATCGCGAGTTGGTATGCCTTCCTTATGCCCTGTTCCAACTTTATGGCTACCCCCAACCTTGTATCTTCTTTCCAACCATTACCGCCAGGATCCCCTGTACAGCCAAGTCCAACCTTATTCCGCCGGGACCGTCGTCCCCTACCTATAACCACCAACGAACCACCACCAATCACGGAAACACATGCCCGGATAACACATGTTATCCCCCAATCACGTGGACCCATCACTCAGGCCACAACTCCATAATCACGTCACGGGCACCACGAGGACCGCTGCAATACCTTGGTGACTAGTGTCCCATACCACTAATCGTGCAATCCAGGTAAAGCCACGCACGCCACACCTCAACAGGAATCAATCAACGGATTGCAACGAAGGTATGGAACATACTCAATCAAGGAACGGGTCACAGCCCAACGACAACAACGATGGATAACACAAGTTATCATCAACCAAACGGAAGGTACAAACAACACACACGCTAGCATTAAGATAACAAACTAGCATGCTTATCAACGGGGAAACTCAAGATAGTTCCGAGGAACACACAAGACACTTCTTGGTCCAACGAAACACAATGTTGAACACTTAGCACGATTCAAGACATCAAAGTCCTACATGGATACCTACCATATAGTTCTAGACCTACGAAACATCAAGAAGACACTCAAATAGTTCCACAAAAGAACAACGGAAAGTCAAAAGATCAAATACCGAGACAACGAATCACGGGGAACAAATCCCGAACCAAACACCACCGTGTACCCGCGGGTGGACCCACGGGAAGACCATCCCACGAGGCCTGTACCCGCGGGTAGGCCGGCGGGTGGTGCCCCGCCCGCCGTTCCGCCCGCGGGAACATTCCTGTTCCACAATAAATCCCCTCGGGGATTTTCTTCTCCAAACACAAATTCAAGTCCAAAACATGCCAAATCTCACCAAACACAACAAAATGACTTGAACCAAGGAAAATGCCAAGCAATGGCACCAAGGTTTTCTAGGCGACAAGCCGCCGACCGCCTAGTCGACTAGGCGGCCGCCTAGGCGACAACTAGGCGATGAGTAATATATTATATATAATATATAATATATATACTAAATTGTCTAAATATGCATTAATTTAAACATTCAATTCAAAGTCAAGAACCAACATCACACATTCACACAATACTATGATACTAAATGTCTAAATATCCAATGTCTCAATTCTCATTTCTCAAACTCCCAAGTCTTAAGCATCCATTAAATCAATCCCGAGCCCTGCACCACCATCATTATCCTCATCACTCTCAATTCCCTCATCTTCTTCATCATCATCAATATCTTCATCATCATTTGGGAAAGGATCTTCATCATCTACTTCATCCCTCAAACCTCCCATTGATGAAGTATTGCGACGCCGGGAATAATGTATTGGTGCACTCGTGCCTTCACCTGCATGTGCTCTTGTAGGAAGATTTCTTCCCTCCAAATTTGCTGAAGCACCAAGCACCTCATCAACAAGACTCCAAGTGAGGTCCTCACCGACATGAACATTATCATTATGATTAGTACCATCCACCCATTCATTTTCCCATTGAAATTCTTCAAGAACTAATGGGTTGAAGTTTGTTCCTTCCTCACGCCGCTTTTGAAACCGACTAACAATCTTCCGGTTATACTTCACATAAACCAAGTCATTCAACCGTTTATGTTCTAATCGGTTTCTTCTTTTTGTGTGAATCTAAATCATAAAAAATAAAAAATAATTACTACTTTAGTAACTTAGGAACAAATAACAGTATTAGTCTATTATTTAGTACTAAGTAGTAAGTACTTACGAACTCAAAGGTGCTCCAGTTACGTTCACAACCGGCAGATGAACAGCAGAGGGAAATAATGCGCAGTGCTAATTTTTGGAGCTCAAAATGATTGCCTCCAAAAGCCATCCACCAATCAACTAAAATATGAATATATATCATACTTAGTAAGTTAGTTTATCAAAATTCAAAAGTATAAAACTAGACATTGTTTAAACTTTAAAGTTTAAATTTGTTGTAGTTTAAAACTTTAAATAATACTTACGAGGAGTTTTGTTTTTGTGTTGGTTGATAGCTAATTGCTTCCCAAAACTTCCTCGCAAATAATCATACTCATCAACTTGATTGGCTATTTTGAGTTGTGTTTGTTGATCTGGAACCATCTTCTCAAGCACTTCATTAAACATGGCCCGCTGCTTAGAAGCATATTCACTATCACTTACTTTCAAATCAAAATAATGGGACGGATTTAAAAACAATGCTGCTCCATACAAGTCAACTCCCATTTGATCTTGCCAACGTCTATCCACAATATCCATCAATCTTGCCAGCAACCTTGATTGACTTGCAAACGCTTCATTCAATTTCCTCCTTGCAGTAGTCATAGCCATAGCAACCTCGGGCATAGCAGGGATCTCATCACCATCTACGATTCTCAATACAACAAGAATCGGTTGAGAAGCCTTAATGCAATCTTCCACCCCAGACCAGAAACGAGTAGAAAATACCGAGTCATAGATCTTCTTTCCAGCTTGTGTGTTTGCTAGTTTAGAAGTAGTCCAATTATCACTAACAAACAAGTTTTTTAAAGCTTTCTGATGCCTGTATAAGCTCTGCAATGTAAGGAAAGCTGTGGCAAATCGAGTTACTCCGGGTCTCACAAGATCCTTACCACCAGTAAACTCCCTCATAGCATTTAAGATCCTTCCATGCCTATATATGAAGGTAGTGATGCGTCTAGCACTTTCAATCTTCTGTTTGAACTCAACTAACTCGCCAATGTCTTCCAACATTAGGTCCAAGCAATGTGCCGCGCATGGAGTCCAAAACAGTGTAGGTATCTTATCTTCCAACAACTTGCCCGCTGCTTTGTAATTAGCACCATTATCTGTCACAATTTGGACAACATTTTCTGTGCCTATCTCTTGAATCTTGCTCTCTAGTAACCTAGCCAACATGTTGGCATCATGGGATTCGCTCGATGCATCAATAGATTCCAAGAAAAACGTCCCCTCCGGACTGTTTACAAGAAAGTTTATCAAATGTCGATTTCTTCTGTCAGTCCATCCATCGGACATCAAAGTACACCCATACCGCCTCCAAGCCAGCTTGTGTTTGTCTTTCAACACATCTATTTCCTTTTTTGCTTTCTCTAAGAGTGAGACCCGCAGTTCTTGATAGCTAGGAGGTTTCCACCCGGGTCCTAATTGTGCAACGGACTCTAACATGACCTCAGAACTAAAGGCATTTGCGACATTAAAAGGAATGCCACACTCGTAGAAACAGTTTGCAACATGCATTGCTGTTCTCTCTTTCTCTTCTTTAGTTCTTGTACAATCTTCAAGGGTTCTTTGATAACCCTTGCTACGCCTTTCTTCCACAACTTCTTCAGGGGTTTTCCTAACCATTGCCGCAATTGTTTTTTGCGCCGGTTGTGCAAACCTCAAAGCCGACTGCCTCTTTTTAGAACTAGTCCCCGAACTTGGATGAGTAATTGAGTCGTGAGATGATGGTTGTCTTGGTTGTGTTGGTTCCATTGACACTTCTTGTGAACCATTATCCCCATCATCGTCATCCAAATTTAGTTGTTTGTTCCTTGAATTTTTTAAGATATACTCCCGCATTTCTTTCATAATCTCTGTTGTTGTATTCGGGCATGCAACAACATCTCCATACCCCTTAGCCAAGTGTTGTTTCAATCTTTTAATGCCTTGGCTAATTTGTCTTCCACACAACGTACATCCGATCAACTCTTTTTTACTTAAATCTGGCCAAAATCCATACTTCCAACCGGGGTCTTTAGACTTGGCTTTTCTTTTAGGATCCTTTGATGGATCATAAGTATTTTCGTCCTCCATAACCTGACAAATAAAAAATAAACAACCTATATGAAACACATCAATAGCACACTGCCAACTGCCAAGTATGTAGAAAAAAAAAAATGGTCAGTGTGCCACACTGTGAAATGTGAATATATGAAATAACCACAGTGTGCCAAGTGCCAAGTATTAAGTATGAAAATATGAAATAACCACACTGTGAAATGTGAATACTGAATATATAATTATATACACAACATACACACTGCCAAGTGTGTAGAAAAACAAAATAAATAAATTCAATGGTCAGTGTGGCACACTGCCACACTGCCAAGCTTAATATATTATATATTTATATATATAAATTATAATGTAATATACTAATATATACAGAAATAACAGACTAGTTTTACACACTCACAGTCACACACGACTGCACTAAGAAGAAGAAAAAAAAAATAACAAAGCAGCAAACTTACCGGTCGGAGTCGCTGGTCGGAGGGTCGCCGGTCGGAGGTTGCAGTCGGCCGGAGGTCGCAGCCGGTCGGAGTCGCAGCAGGTCGGAGTTGTGGACTTGTGGTGAAGACTGAAGAGTGAAAGAGTCGTTGCGTTGAAGAGGACTTGAAGTTCAGACGAGTCTTGCGATAAAGACTAAGTCTAGTAGGGTTTTAATTCAGCAATTAATTTTTTTTTTTTTAACATAAACCCGGGTTGACCCGGGCAGAAACCGGGCCGAACCAGGCATAGGCGTCCCAGGGCGTCACCTTGACGACTAGGCGTCGCCTAGGCGACGCCCAGGCTCGCCTCGCCAATTTTAGGCGAGGCGAGGGAACTAGGCGGGAGCCCTAGCCCGCCCAGACGCCTAGATAACCTTGAATGGCACAAAGGAACCCTAAACACAAGCTCTAGATATGCAATATCACAAGATAAATGCATAAAACCATCATATTTCATAGCAAAGAACAAGTAGAATCCAAGAAATCACATATAGGTAAGCAAAATAGGTTTTGTAGAGCATGGGTTACCTCTTGAAGACCAAAAGACTTCTCTTTACACCACAACAAGCTCTCCACTAGGCTCACTTCTCAAACCCACTTCAAGATCAAACCAAAAGATCATAAAGGTCTTACCTTTAAGAAAAAGACAACTAAGATGGAACCAAAAAGACTAGACAAGCTTAGATCTTACCCTCCTAGATACCCAAATAGGTGAAAGGTTGAATCTTGGAAGCAAAACTTGGAATCTTGACATAGGTCTCAACTTGGCTTGGAGAATAAGCTACATTTCTATTCTAGAGAGAAGGTAGAGATATTTTCTAGGAATTGTAAGGAATGAAATGAAGAAGTCTTCTAGGTTAGGATACAATACTAACTCTTGGTGAAAAGACAAGGCTACCCTTACTAACCCTTAGAAAGTGTAAGGAACAAGGGAACTCCTCTCTAAGCACAAGGTACAACACAACTTAAAGATTGACTAGTCAAATACTAGTCCTTAAGTATTAAAAATCAGGATTTTAGGAATCAATTCCTCAAAAGAATTAGAATTAATTACTCAATTAATTCATGGATTGGAGTGTGGATTTTTGGGGTGTCACATCTCCGGTCTCTCAAGTCTCACCGCTGCGCCTCTCGCCCTCCGCCCGGACTGCCCTCTGCCCCTCACGCTCTCTGTCTTCGCGCCCTTGGCTATACTCCGATCTTTCACCGCCTTCACATCCCCATGTATTTCTATTTGTATCTGTATCTTCATCTCCATCTATGAATGGACCGACAAATCATGGAGACAAGTAATCTTTCGGTCGATTTTTGTATTTGTATATGTATTTGAAGATGTATTTGTATTTGTCTTTGTATCGATCGTTCATGTATTTGTATATGTATATTCGTCTTCGCCATTTTTGGAGCATTGTTAATCTTTCGTTTATTCGGTAACGGACGATCGATTTTTCGATCGGCTAGACCATATACTTCGGTCGGTTAAGAAGGTTAAAAATTTTGATCCGTTTTTCGGTTTTTCGGTCGGTTATGTAACCGACCGACCGTTTGCTCACTCCTAGTTGAAGTGCCTTCAATTAGATATAACTTTGATTTTTAACTATGATGTTAGTGGGTCAAATATATATATATATTTTAAGTATAATTATTTTATATAAAAAAAATATAAAAATAAAATTTTGGCCCACAATATATAGGCACGGGCCTAGGCCTGGGGTAAGCCCGGCACAGGATTGGCCCAAATAATTCAGGGCCGGTCTCAGTCCGTGCCAGTCTAGGGATCAGCCCAGGCCCAAACTTTGGCCACCTCTAACATATATAGGAGAGATAATTGACTTTTTTGATAATATATATGGTGATGTAGCATAGAGTGTATAGATGTAATAGCGTTCTCTAGAAATTAGGAGTACAATTATGACACATAATATGTGACAATAAGAGATTAGGCATAGTATCAGAAAATCAACATGCATGGAGCTAAGCAACTAAAAGCAAAATAGAACAACCACATATTAATAAGAAAATAACACAAGAATAAAATAAATAGGATTCAAACTATGAATCTTCTAGATGAAAACAAACTTATAGAGTTATAGGAGTGTGGTAAAATACACAACCAAAGAAAGAGAGATAATACAATCTTAACCTAACCCTTATATATACTAACTACTCACTCATATTAGCGCACAGAGAGGGAGGGAGGGAGAGGGGGAGAGAGGGAGAGGGGGAGGGAGAGAGGGAGGGAGAGAGAGAGAAATCTTAAAATTCTAGTGTTGAATTCTTGATAATAAGTTCTAAAAGTTTAATGAAAAGTAAATTCAAGTCTATTCTAACCTTGGTTAATAATATTGAAAGAAAGTGACAAGAATGCCCCTATACTGATAGAGAAGTTAATTAATTTCATTGATATATATTGGTTCTGATTAGGTGGTGAAAAAAAGTCTAGAGAGTGAATATACTTTTCAAGTAAATTAAAATTGTTTAACATCGACAATTTTATCAAAATAACTCTAAGTAAATTAAATTAATAAAAATCTAAATTTTATCAAAATAACTCTAAGTAAATTAAATTAATAAAAATCTAAATTAGAGTGCACATTGGAATAAATGTACGTAAAGTACTATATTCAAAAATGAAGTGTTAGATGATGTATGCAAACTTGCAACGTGAAGGGTAGAAATGAAACTCATGTAATCTTTTGGTTCACCTGTACTACATAATGCTGATGAAGATCAGAGTTCTAATACAGACAGTTTTCACAAATAATTTCCGGCCACTTAGTAATGAAATTAATATAATACGTACATCTTCGATCTGCTTCGTCATACAAATCAGGCCAGGGAACCTCTATTTTATGTATAGTTTCTTGTACATGTCAGACTTTTGGCCATTTTGGACTCACAAGTCACAACCTACACATTCAAGTAAACAACTAAAATATCAGACTACGAACACACGTTACGTTCTCAGGTAATATAATATAATGTTCCCCTAAAGATCACTAAAACTCAGAATCACTGATCTATCGAAACTCCAGTATTCACCTTGTCATACTTTATCCCAAAGTTTAAGATCATTAACTAATTGCATTCAAATTGATAATTTTAAGAATAAAAAAATGATAAAGTTATCAGAATATCCATAATCTATACAACTAACATTTTGGTTCAACAACGACCATTTTGAATTGCCAAAAGTGTCCAAAAAACGATAGTCTGGGATCTAAAATGGCAAAAATGATAGTTTGGGACTAAATTTAGAATTGTCACCAAAGACAAGGGACCTCTGGTGGAATTAACTCTGTATTAAATGTAATAGATACGTAATTTATTAACTTAACTAGTTTTTTTACGCGCATTGCACGATTGAGATAATGCCTAATGTTTTTTTTTTTTTTTTTTAAATAAGTACTTTAAAGTATATCAAGGCAAGATTATATTGGAATTGTTCATGCATAGATAATTGAATGTTAAATTTGCGTATTTAAATAGGCAATTCTAAGTTTACAAATGCAAGATAATATAGTCAAGATTGATTATAATTGTCAATAAAATAATTGTATAGGTATGGTTGAAACCAAATACGGGACATAAGGGAGAGCAAATAAAATTTAGAACATAAAATATTAAATATATACTAATATTGAAGAGCTAACCGCTGATTGCCAAACAATGACATTGTGAGATAATTTTCGACTTTAATTTGTTGTGTGATTTAAATACTCTTTTTGTCAATAAATCTCGCAAGTATTTAATATGATTGGCTTAATTATATATTTTTTAATTTTTTTATTTTTTTTTTTTAATTTTTTAAAATAATAATAATAATAATTATTATTAAAATTATTTTTCTTAATTAATTTATTGATAATGAATAATTTTTTTAATAAAGAAATTGTAGAGACAATGTAACGAATATAATCAATTGATGAATTTGAATGTAAAGAATTTTTAGGGAAAATGGTCAAATAGGTCCTTAAACATTTCAAGAAAAGTCAATTAGGCCCTTGAACTTTTAAAAAGTGCAATTAGATACATAAACTTACGATTTTAGCTCAATTTACCCCATTAGCAGGTTAACTATCAGATTACTTCAGATAAACGCCTATGTGACAGCTTACTTGGCAAAAATGTTAATATTTAATTCGCCACGTAAGCATAAGTAAAAAAAATGAAAATAAATATATTAATATTGTTGTTATTATTATTATTACGGAGTATTAACATTTTTGCCAAGTAAGCTGCCATATAGGCGTTTACCTGAAGTAACTTGATGGTTAACCTGCTAATGGGGTAAATTGAGCTAAAATTGTAAGTTTATGTATCTAATTGTACTTTTTGAAAGTTCAAGGGCCTAATTGACTTTTCGTGAAATGTTCAGGGGCCTATTTGACCCTTTTCCCGAATTTTTATATTGGAGAAAAATAAATACAATATAACTAATGAAATTATTTCTCTTATTTAATTTATTGATAATGAATAAATTTTTTTGAATAAAGACATTGTAGACACATAATTCTAAATTAAAGAAATGCATATGTATTATTTTTTGGTGTAGCTACTAAGTTATTATTATTTATAATTTAATAAGAGTAAAATAGAGTACTAATTATGCCAACTTTGATTGGGATGAGGTTCGAACCTAAGACCTTTCTTATTGAAATCAATGAGTAAGTTAACATTAACTAACATAAATTAACGAAAAAATTAACGAAAAAGTTAACGGATAATCATATTCATTAAGGATAAATTAGAAAATCTTAAGAAAAAATTAAAATCTGATCAATCTGAGTCATTCATTTGATTAAAAAATTTGACCGTTATTTTTTCTACCTATTATAGACCTAACTTTTTTGAGCTTTTATTAGTATAGTAGATAGTAGATGTACATAATATATTAATTGTAGGTACATAATCTAGACAAGATCTATCATGCGCACCCTGATTCCCAATATGTGGTCCAATGGTATCCGGGTTGGATTTCCACTTGGAAGGTTGTGAGTTCGAGCCTCAGTGGAGGTGTTATTAGCTCTTTGTGTTTCAATAGGTTGAGAAAGTATATGAACAGATACTACAATGTAATAGAGCTAGTAGCATTCAAAAAAAAAAAAAAAAAAAAAAAACTTTCTCCTTTCAAAAAAAAAGCAATTAACTTTCTTGGGTTTCAAGCAATTGTTAAACCATTGCCTAAAATATAATTTGAAATTAGCATTTCCTATTTTCATCATAATATGAAAAATTCTATTAAGCACGAAGAATATTCAAGAATAGAACGCTAGATACGTATTAAATATATTACTATTACAGTTTTCACATAACGGTAACAATTTCATCCTTTGATGGAAAATTATAATTTTTTTAATTCTTCAAATTGCCAATTTTCATGCAATTAGTTAATGGTCTTAAATTTGTGGGACAAATATAGTAAAGAATTTTTTTGTTAATTATTTAATTTTTTAAATATAATCTAATTCCTATCCCCAAATATAATTATCCATATCCCTCCAACCAAACGGGCAAAACTAGTCCAGTCCCATTACTAGTCGGACTAGAAATCTATATACGAACTTCTCTTGCCCTGTTTTTTTGGTCTCTCCATCTTCCTCAATTCACAAATCTCTCCCTCTATATCTGAATCAAGGGTTTTTCCGCTTCCAATCTCCGTTGAATCGCACCGCAAGAGCAAGAGTTTCGATCAGTGAAGAGAAATCCAGGAGAAGCAGAGCAAGAAATCACCAGAATAAATTAAAGATGGTTCTTGGATTGAAGCGGTGCCTCCCGGATTCAATGAGCGGCGCCGATCGAGGGTTCTGCTTCTCTGATCCCAAGAAACAGCGAAGAAGCAACGATGTTCTTCCCGGAGAACTCGAAAGGTGCGTTGTTAATCCCCATAATGGCGGCTTTTTGGCGCGAAATCCTCCAATGGAATGCAGCGGGATTCTCGATTCCGAATCAGGGCCAAAACCCTATCCTTCGCCGGAAGATGTTATTCCAGAGATGGTAGAAGTTGTGTGCAATGACACAGAAGGGGTTTATTTTCCCGGCCTCCATATGGTGCAATGTGGGTGCAGGCCGTGTTCGATCAAGAAAAACAACGCCAAGAGGAGCGTCGGCGATTGGGAAAAGCACGCCGGGTCGAGAGCTAAAAAATGGAAGGTGAGCATAAAGGTGAAGGCCACAAGGCAACCCTTGGGAGAATGGGTTTCAGAGAATTCCGCAGTCACTACTCGAGGACATGGGTTTAACTTTAATCCGGGATTAAACCCAACCCGACTCTCAGCATTCTTAACCCAAAAACACACCCCCATAACCCAAAAATGGACACCAGAGCGCTGCGCAGTCTGCAGATGGAACGAAGACTGGGAATACGACAAGATCGTAATCTGCAACAAGTGCGAAATGGCAGTTCACCAAAAATGCTATGGAGTAAGTCACATCAATGATTTCACCTACTGGCTTTGCAATGCCTGCAAGAACCCGAGTCTCAACCCGGAATGCTGTCTCTGCCCCGTCAAGGGCGGCGCATTGAAGCCCTGCGACGTTGAGCCGTTCTGGGTTCACGTTATCTGCGCCTGGTTTCGTCCCGAAATGTGTTTCCCCAGCGACAAGATGGAGCCGGCCGTCGGGCTGATGAGAATCCCGCCCAAGACTTTCCACCAGACCTGCCAAATCTGCAACCAGACTCACGGGGCGTGTATGCAGTGCTGTAAATGCAGCAACACTTACCATATCACCTGTGCTTTTCGAGCAGGGTTTTACATGGAAATGATGTTAATAGCCAATAAGAATACTAATAGACTGATATTGTATTGCAATATCCACAAACCTCCCAATCCAGATAGTAAATTAGAGATGCGAACTCTTCACAAGAACAGAAATCAGGCCCTGAAAAATTCCGTGCCCTATTCATCATCAAATGAACCTGAACCCCAGCCTAAAATTGAAACAAAGCCAGATGATCAAAGTTCAGAACCTGAAACTTCTAAGACTGATTCATCATTAAATGAACCTCAGCTTGAGCCTGGAACTGAAACAGAGCCTGATGATCAATTTTCCGCGGCGAGATGTCGGGTCTACGATAGAACAGCTCGGAAAAGAGATAAACCGGAGGCGATAATCAACGCCAGGCTGAATTACGGAAAGGAGCCGGAAAATGGGCGGGGATTCTCGTCGATGCCGGAGAGGATGAAGCATCTGCAGAGAACGATGAAAGAGCGAATCTGTTTCGGCAAGTCCGGGATTCACGGGTGGGGGGTGTTCGCAAGGCGGAGAATCCGGGAAGGGGAGGTGGTGGGGGAGTACGTGGGGGAGGTTGTGCGGCGGAGCGTGTCGGACGTGAGAGAAGCTCGGTACAATGCGGAAGGGAGGGAGTGTTACCTGTTCGGGATCAATGAAGAAAAAGTGATTGATGCGACCATGAAGGGGAACTTGACTCGGCTGTTCAACCATTGTTGCATGCCGAATTGCTATTCCAGGATAGTGAATCTGGGGGAAGGGGATTACGGGGTGGTTTTGATAGCCAAGAGGGATGTTGGTGCAGGTGAAGAACTTACGATGGACTACATGTTTGATCATAACAAGGATTATAAACCCACCACTCCCTGCTTCTGTGGAGCTCCCAATTGCAGGAAATTCATGTAATTTGTTTGTTTTAGTGACAAAAGGTGTAACCAATCATCCCGGATACCCCACCTAACAGAATTATGGAGGGATAGCACTAGCACTAGCATGTGTTGTTGTAAAATGGAATAGGATTTGTTTCAATTCTCGACTGAGATTAAGGTTATCCTTTGACATACTTTAGAAAAATATTACTCTCTTCTGCTTATTTTATGTGTCTAGTTCGCTTGATTGAAGTTATTTTTAATTCAATTTTTCATAATATTAAATTTAATATTAGTATACAAACTTTATATATTTAGAAACTACATTAAAAAGTACTATTAAACACAAAAAATTAAATTTAAAATAAGCAAAAATACAAAAAAAAAAAAAAAACAAAAATGAAAGAATTGATTTGACCAATGAATTGTAAGTAGGGCAAACAAAATGGGACAATGAATACTTTCTAATACCTAATTTAGTCCTCGGCTATAATGATTTTTTTTTTTTTTTTGTTTTAGTTCTAAATGTATTTTTGTGTTTGGATTCTCGACTTTGATAATTTTATTTAATTGAGTCATCGTAACTGTAGCATAATAATTTCTATCTATTAATACCCAATTTAGTCTTGAACTATAGTCGCTTTATCCAAATTAGTCATCGACTATAGTAATTTTTCTCAATTTAATTATTAATTCATATAGTCGATTGAGGACTCAACTAAGCACAAAAAGATAAATATAACTAAATCGAGAAAAATCACTATGTCTAAATTGCGTATTACTAACTGTTAAAGCAAAAAAGCGGCAGGATAAGAGAATGAAAAGCAGAAGATGTATTCAAGAATAACGAAGGCCATCTGAGGGTGGTATGCACTGCTCATTCGAATCCTCTGCTGCTAAAGTACGTGTTATATTTCTATACAAACTGTTGGACGTGTTTCATTATGACTTTCAATTTGGAATGGTAACAGTAAGTGGTGAAATCATACTAAAAAGTACTTAACAAATTATAGATACTAAAATTAAAAGTAAACTTCTAAACCAAAATAAATCCTAAACCCAACAACAACAACAAAAATCCTAAACCATAAACTCTTATTAAAGGTGATGAAACCATTTCACAAAACTTTTGTATATCACAATATGCACTCTATAATATTATTGAGTTTGAGTACATTTAAAGTTTGAGTTATTTACAAAAGTATCAAAACCTTTTTTTCTTTCTCTCATTACTTTAAAACCATTATATCTTTTCATATCGAATACTTTGATTGGTTCCTAATTTTCTTCTCAACGTAAATTTTTATTTGATTCAAATCATATAACTCTTAACCAAAGAATTTAATATTATGTATTTATGTTTCAACAATGCTACCAAACACATGGGGGGCATTTAGCTCACAAATTGTAAGATTATCTTCCGAGAAGTAACACGAAATTTTGAAAATGTGAGATTAACATATTTATTTAGAATTATATTTTAAGTTATATTATTTAATTTACTTAAATACCCTCGTAAACAAATAAATATTATTATATGACCATATATCTTATTTTATTAAAATATATTAACTCTCAATCCAAGTTATATCCCTGATTTATATCGTTAATTTTTTATACATTATGTTATAAGAGTTGTATTATACAATTTTTGGGACAAAAATATTGCAACCGTTATAACTTCTATTATCTTTTCCCATTATAATTACCACGCACATGCATACACAATATCTTTTCTTATATTTTCAATAGTAATATTAATATATGTAGACATTATATATTGGAGTATAAAACTCTTACTTTAATAATATTAATAATATCATAATTATTAATTTATTACTCAAATTATCAACTTTACTTTTTTTTTTTTTTTTTTTTTTTTTTTTTTTTTTTTTTTTTTTTTTTTTTTAAGGAAACTATACTTTTAATATAATATCAATATCAATTATACAACTATGAATTTGAAAAAAAATATTTTAATATATTTAAGACTTTAACATTGAGTATTAATATTGTGCATACATTTTTACGCATCACACATATAAAATACTAGTTATTTTACATAAGTATGAATATATTATTATTATTATTATTATTATTATTATTATTATTATTATTATTATTATTATTATTATTATTATTATTATTATTATTATTATATCTATTATAACAAATATAAAAGTTACTCAATTTGTCCCATTTTATCTGTCCTACCTACTATTCATTGGTCAAATCAACTCTTTCTTCTTTGTTTATTTTTTAAATATTGTTTACTTATTTTTTAATTTGGTTTTTTTTTTTTTTTTTTTTTTTTTTTTTTTTTTTTTTTTTTTTTTTTTTTGTGTGTGTGTTTAATAGTGCTTTCAGTGTAGTTTTTAAATATATAATTCTTGTATACTAATATTAAACTTAATATTATTAAAAATTTGATTAAAAATAACTTCAGTCAAACCTCGTTAACCGAATCAAACACATAAACTGGGTTTATGGGACAGAAGGAGTTTTTGATAAGGGCAAAATTAAATTATTAAAAAGTAATGTAAGAATACTTAAAAAGATAGAGGTAACTACATTACCTCAAAATTCTATGTGGCAATGATATAAAATTACCGAGTATCACATAATGTGATATAAACAATGTTTTTTTTTTTTTTTTTTTTGAGATCAAAACAAAACTTCATTCAAACAATCTTACGAGCTAATACAGGATTTAAAAATAAAGGAGAAGTGACATACCACTCCCCACATCCTCCTAACAAAGAATGGGCCTCCTTAGTAACCGTATGAACATCACACCGCTTAACACACGAGAATTACAACTGATCAAAAGTATCAGCAAGTTCCTTTACATTATCTAAAATTAAACCAAATGCACTATCCTCAGAGTATCTATGAATAGCCACCCAAAAAAAAAAAAAAAAAAAAAAAAACCGTATCCATAGTTGAAAAAATCGCTAGGCGCCCATCGGGCGCTCGGGGAGCGCCTAGCGCCTAGGGCGCCTAGGCGGGGATTAATCGGCGCCTAGGCGCCCGTGCATTTTTTATTTTATTTTTTAGTTTTATAAATTTCTTTAAATTTTTTAATACTTGATAATTATAAACTATTTAATACTTTAATAGTTAATACTAAAATATTAAATATTAACCTAAAAAACATTTAGAGTTTGAACAATTTAAGATTATTTCGCTCAAAAAGATGTCGTTTTGAGTGAAATAACTCACTTAAAAAGAATGGAACAATAGTTATTTGGTCGACTAGGCGACCTAGTCGGTGCCTAGGCGGCATAGTCGGTGCCTAGGTTGTTAGTGCCTAGGCGGCCTAGACAACACTTAGGCGGCCTAGTCGGCCGCCTAGCCGGCTAGTCGCCTAAACCACCGATTATGCTGATATGCTAGGCGGCCGGCCAACGCCTAGCGCCTAGGCGCCAATTAATCGGTGCCTAGGCGGGATTTTTGCAACATTGCCTGTATCACATTATCTTATTCCCATTTCCCACTCTCCACCTACAGTCCTACACCCATCCCGAATCAACCCCTGCACCTCCCAGATATAAACAATGTTATATCACATTATCATACTCATTAATTAGGTAAAGTTACATAACTTGAACTAAATGCAGTCTAAGGTAATTAATGTTTTCAAAATTTCACATTACATTTCAAGAAGCAATCCTATTAACTGAGATAATCTCACATTATGTGGATCAAACACCCCATTAAAGTTATTAAAGCATAAATAAATGTGAAGGCAGACATACTAAATTTACAGGAGATAACCATCAAAGAATTGATTATACTAAAAGAGTTCCACTTCAAGTACACAATGCATGCAGCCTAGTGGAGCAGAATAAAACAACAGGGAAAGCAACTGCTTTCCCTTTTGCCGTATAAATTTCTGAGTCATTTGTAAGTATGATGCCTTAAAATCTTGAAGATTCAATGAGATCGCCTCCGTTTCCTATGTGCTTCCATAATAGGTTGAGTCAGTCATAGAAGAACTATAGGTCATAGGTGAGATTACAACCAGCCAACACCATAATAATAGGTAATAAGCTTCAAAGTGGGCAGGGAAAGAAACTGCCGGCTTTGCTGTTGTTTGAAGAGTTTTTTGGTGAAAATCACCCCTCAGTCATGTTTATGGAAGGAAAGTATCTCATGACGAAGCTCGAAAGTGACCAAATACAAATCACACCAAGGACTTGGAGTACATTTAAGAGTGCACCCAGTGAACTGTTTATTGCCAAGTTGTGAGGTGTCGTCTCGGCTCCCCTTACTGTGAATGAAAGTGCTGTCACCAGTTGTGCTGCCCTGTTTAGTTGGTGCAACCTATAAACCTGTCAAATTTCCCAAAAGGGAGCCAAAAACCCTCATTAAAAAAAATTTAGGAAAAAAAAAAAAAAAAAAAAGACTTGAGCTTCTATAATTGAGAAGCAAAACAATGAAACTCTAGGCAATGGGTCATGTCATTCCAATCTAATATGTGTCTACAAACACATAATACGTTAACAATATATTGGCCCTGTTTGGTAAAATGGCTGTTAGCTGATTGTGTTAATTAGAGGGTATAAATAGTTGATAACATTAGCTGATTGTAGAAAAATGTTTGGTAAATTAGCTGTTAGCTGATAGCTATTTGGTATAATTTCTTTTCTCAAAAAGCTAATTGAAAAAGTTGTTTGGAGTAACTTTTTGAATTTTAGCCTTTTAGAGTTGCAAAAAGCTAATTAACCAAACATTTATATTGATATTTTAACTAAATCAAACAATTAATAGTGGTCAAATAAGCCAAAAATGGCCTATAGGCCAATTTTCTACCAAACAGGACCATTATGTGTCTGCACTTAACAGTTTATGTGTTTGTAGCTATCATTTTATGTGTATGTAGTTAACATGTTATGCACCTTCAATTTATTTACAAGTATATAAACTATTAACTGCAAGTACAGAAAATACCCCCTCACACCCCTACCCCCCTCCCTCTTTCGTTTTTGTTCTCTTTTCAACACACAAGACTTGAGCTTCTATAGTTGAGATGCAAAAGAATGAAACTCTAGGCAATGGGTCGAACCCCCACGGAAAAATCAATCTGGCTAGCACTTTGCCCCTTAATTGGGTTAGCCCAGTGAAAACATGGATTAGTCTGAGTATGGTACGGGCTTAAAGGTGCCTCCTACAGTTGGGGTCTGCTCAGGACACCTCGTGGTCTAACCAAAAAAAAAAAATTATGTATATTTTTACCTGGAAAACAACTGGAATAACAGGCCATGAAGGTGACTTCACATATCTTGCATATTGCTCAAACGCAAACTGTACAACAATACCAACAAGATACGGGGCAAGAGTAGCAGAAGCCGCTGGGCCAGTCCATGGCCAAACAAATCCCATTGTCACCATTGGAATTGTAAGACTCAGACCCAAGATAGCAACCGAAGAGATTCTATATGCCAATGGTGGGGGGGTAATATTTCTGTTACATGCTGAAGATACCAACTCAAGTGGCCTTCTTAAATGGTGAATTAGTAGAAGAAATATTGCAACTCCACAGTAGAAAAGAGCCTCCGTGAAAAACAGTATAAGGAAATCTGCATGCAGAAAAGTCAGTATAACAAATGGTAAGAAAAGTTATATTGATTCAAATATTACTCCCTAAATAAATAATGCTATTTTAATATTTGCATATCAATCAAATAAGGTTAATTCTTGTGGCATATACATAACAATTTGTTAAAATGTACTACGTAAAAAGTTTAGTTGTGGGATAAGTTCCACCTACCAGTTAGTAGAGAATCCTCAAAAATAGTAGATATTATCCTGCGTAAGTAGAGCGAGGGAACGATGAAAGAGGCTATAAGAACAGCAGGACCAACAACCCACAACAGAGTGCTTTCGTTCTTTCCACCATTAGACACAATGAGCTCATCTTCTCTTCTGTAAGGACGATTATAAAAAGAAATTAAGCCAGGCCTTCCTCCTCCTAATCCTTCAGCTTCAACATCTGAAGCATCTGCAGAGAAATCTTCAATAAAAGGCTCTGGACTTTTTTGCTTAGAAGCATCTTGTTCAAGCTCACTATCCAATAATTGATCCTCCGAGGAGAGAGCAAAGAAGTTGAATTGCCTCTTTGAAAAACTTCCGTGCATCCTTAGCTTTCCATGCATGAGCTTGTATGACCTAACAACTTAAAATTAAAAAAAAAATGAAAAGAATAATGACAGAAAGTCAGGAAAAATATACATAAGCTTTAAAAATCCATAAAGTTTGAGGTATGAGAACAAATGTTTAGGACTTTAGAGAAAATAATTGGATATATGACCTATAATTTAGGGATTGAACCTTCACAAAAAAAATTCCAAGTTCAAGTACCTACATTTATCATTGCTTGCAGTATCTGCACCAAAATGCTGCATGTCAAGCAATCTGAGTCTTGAGCTAATCTGAAAATGGATGGTAAATTCAGCAGAATAGTAAATATCCATGTATTATTGTGTCCATTACAACACATGGGGCATAAAAACCACATGGGACAACAGGGAGATGGATAAAGAAGTTTTAGACAAAAGTAGAAATGTCATGAATTACAAGCTCCCTTTGTTCAATTAACATTAAGGGTCAAGAACTTTTCACATTAATATTTTATATTTTGGTTTACCAGGATGAGTTTGTACTAATATACTACCCTTGCTACAAAAAAAAAAAAAAAAAAAAAAAAAAAAAAAATGAAGAAGAACAAGAAGTCCTGTTTGAAAAATCACACTTATATAGAGAATTTATGCATAGTTAACCATTATTTGTATTGTATACTTCCATTTTTGCCTTGAAGGCAGTATTCTAATTCATGAATCATTAATTCCAATCTAAGAAAAGGGGTATTCTTGAAAATCAACCAAGAAACCATTGAACTTTTATGACATCCCAAAAAATATAAAACAGGACACTTTTAGGGAACGGGGGAATTAAATTTATGTATGTGTGTGCAGTTTATTTACCATTACTCTCCCAATAACTATGCTTCTATTACTTTTTGGACTGCCATAGATCTTCCTCTTATTTAGAGTTTTAAGATGATAAAAACAACTTTGAATTTCATAAAGATTCCATCTGTTTGACTAAATTGATGAGAAGTTGAGAACTGCAAAACTTAGCACTTAGGACTCTTTTCACATAGGCATTTTAGTCTTTAAGCACTTCATAATGGGGGACATGAGATTTGAACCCAAGTTTAATGCCCAGACAAGGGCTTAGCTTACCACTAAGCATCTAAACTAAACACCAATTCTTACTTGCCAAATACTGAATCTGATGGAGAGATATCAACATACATTAACGAAGTGAATTTAGCCACAAATATGATAGAGCTGTTTATCATTTTCTAAAGTAACAAATAGAAATTTTCAAGGAATACATTGCACTCCTCAAACCTCCACTCTATAAATGTAATACCCAAAGTTAACTAAAAAAGTACAAACGGCTGAAGAATTAACAATACTGATTTTAAAACAATGCACTTAAATGCATTCATTGCTCTAATAGGCATTCCTGGAGTGAATTGCTAATAATTTGTATCGTAATGCTGACTAGATAACAAATTAATATGATTGGTTAATTTTATAGATAACTGATTTAAATTAGTTTCTTTAGGAGTAACATATATATATATATATATATATATATATATATATATATATATATATATATATATAGAAGAGCGCTCATATGCGGCGGGATCTTACGGTGCGGCGGTGCGGTCAAATTCCAGAATACACCAACAGTGTTAACAATATGCACCAACAGTGTAATAAAAACACACCCCAATGAAATGTAATAAAACATCACAAAATACACCACAGACTCAAAAAAACACACCATATAACTCACCACCCCCAATGGTGTATTTCCAAACAGTGTATGGTGTTTTTACTCACACCTAATGGTGTGTGTTTGGTGATGCAGGGCTCTGTTTACTCTGTTTTGTGTGGTGTATTTCCTAACGTTGATGGTGCATATTTGGTGAACTATTGGTGTTGCCGCACCGTAAGAAATAACAGCACCGTAAGACACTACCGCACTTGAACCCGCCTCTATATATATATATATATATATATATATATATATACATACATACTGTAAGACTTTAGGGGTTGAATTCCAGAACGAATTTGTCTATTCTCTTCTTTCTTTAATTTATTTTGGTTAACTATTGATCACAATCTTTTCTAGACAAGATTGAGACATATGTTAAATTCTGAATAATGCATGTCTTGTAAGTGGTAGAGAAGCCATTTTATGTATGTAAGATCATCACAATCATGGCTTAGAATTACCATTTATTGAATATCAGGGGAAAATTCATCATATGGAAATAACACATTCACATATGAATTCATCAAAATTACATATGACATTTACTCATGAAATTCATCTCACTGTAACTCACTCAAGAGACTAATGTATTGGAAAATATACACAAACAGATTATAGTGCTCCAATTCTCTAACAGATTAAAAGAAAATAAGTAAACCACTCGATAATTATTGCCATCCAATACCAAAATAGACTATCAAAGAACAAGTAATTGGAAAAGTTTCTGAGACTAAAGATGAAGCACTATGGAACGCTGACGGTAAGAAAAATTAGAATATTTCCAAAAAAAAAAAAAAAAACTAAAATAAAATAACGCACCATGCGGGCTTTCTTGGATTGAAAAGGCAAAGGAGAGGTGAAAACAGAGGAAAATGAAGACCCAATCTTGACTGACATTTCTTCTTCTTCACAACCAAAAAAAATCTTCAACGTATATGTGAAATATTGTAAAGAATTTTCTGACAGAAAATTCAGAGAGGAAGTGATGAGGGTTCAGAGATTTTTGAGGGGTGTAGCCTGTAGGGGGTTTTACAGAAGGCGGCTTTTTACCGTTCTTGTTTTTTTATTATGATAATTTCACTTTTGACCCTGAGGTTTCTCACTTTAAAATTTCGACCCCCTTCTCTCTTTCTTTTCTTTTTTTTTTTCTTTTTTTTTTTTCTTATTTTTTATTTTTTTGACCCTGAGGTTTCTCACTTTAAAATTTCGACCCCCTTCTCTCTTTCTTTTCTTTTTTTTTTTTCTTATTTTTTTTTCTTATTTTTTATTTTTATTTTTAGCACAATGCATACCATTACGACAAATTATTTTATGAGCTACATTTTTTTTTTAGTATTATTAACTCTTTTATAATGTAATATCTGTTTACAAATACTTTTTCAATTCAATCTATTAAAGCACAAAGAGTCACTATCCTATAGGAGTTCGAATTTGTGACTACTCATCTGGGAGAGTCACAGTTATGCACTTATGCTGCTCGACTCTGATACATATTTACTTTTTAATATACAAAAATTTGTTTTTAATTAAATAAATATTTTGCCGAGCACCTTGTGCTTAGATGGCACCTCTAAGAGGTAAGGTCACAGGATCGAACTCCAGTGGTGGGGAATTAACTCTTTGGGCTGCAACGATAGTGAAAGGTATAGATGATTGCGGTAATTTGGGACAACAAATAATATCCGGAGTATTCGTGTTATCGAACCACAGGGAGATGGGGTACTAAGCACTAGCTACTTGGTTACTCATATGGAACTAATCTGAACGAAACTTGAAGATTGGATAATTGTAGATAATAAAAGGCAGAATAAACTAATTAACAAGGTGTTGTAAGCAATAGAGCAAAGCAGGATTCTTGGGATCACAATGTTTAATCACCTAGTGCCAATTAAAGTTTGTAATATTTAGTTTGGAATTAAGACTTGTGTGATAATGCAAAGTGGAATAGAATTACTCTTGTAATCTCTATCCCTAGTGAATTTCTACTCTCGTGGCTTAAACACCCGATAAGAACAAAGAACAACATTAAATTATTCCCAATTACTACCATCTCCTCGATGCGCAACAATCTAGAATAAAATTTCCCAACCAAATTGCCCTTTCTCAAGGTGCAATAGTCAAGTGTAATCGTGTGTGCCCTAGCTTGTGTCTAACTCTCGTTATGACATGAACATGGCTATGAAGCAAGTAATTTAGGCCTTTAATTACTAACAACAACAGATTAAAACAAGATTGCAACACAAATCATAAAACCAAACATAAATATATTAAAGAACTAAAGAACTAGGCACATAGGTTCATAAACAAATTCACCCAAAAATCCCTAATGGCCTGTTTGGTTCACGGAATAGGCTAGGAATAACATAGCATTCCCAGTAATAGGCCTATTCCTGTGTTTGATAACCTTTTCTATTACCGGGAATAATATTCCTGGTAATAGCCTATTACCTCAAATAAGGTAATAGCTATTACCAGGGCCCCCTGGTATTAACCTATTCCTGAGTCCTCAGGAATAGTTTTTTCTTTTTCTTTCCAATTTTACCCTTTTTACTTAACCTATCGTTCTTTATCTACGATTCCTTCAACATCTATCCCTTTCACCATTTGCAATTCATTTCGTCATCTGTATCAATCTTTGCAATTCCTCCTGCCTTCTACATCAAATTAAAGCTTCAAACAAAAGTATTCTTCTAAATTTTATTTTTTACAAATTATATATATATATATATATATATATATATATATATATATATATATATATATATATATATATATATACACTGTTGTTTGTTGAGCTGGAATTAAATCAGATAGACAAGTAGCCTGGACCGAGATAAGACCAACGCCACCATCCTATTCATTGTTAGCCGCCTCCGTGGGGTACTAGTGTAGCATTCATCGCAATAAGGCAGAGGCTAGATAGATTCACTGCTTTCAATCAGTCAGCCGGAAATTTCATGTTCTGCCAGAGAACACATCTACCCAATAAAGAATCTAGCAATCTAGGCATCTGGCAAACAACATCCTCAGCCCAACTTCTGCGAATCGCCGGCGACAATCTCCCTTGCGCGCAGTAGACAACGATGACTATTTTTGCTTCCCCACGACAACCGCCGACGAGGAATCCGGTCTTTGCCCCCTATGCGACAACTGTCGGAGAGAGCTTCGGCTCCCCTACGCCTCTGGTCACGTCTCCCGTCAAATCATGGAAGTCGTCAAAAAATTCATCAATGCACCAACGAAATCTCACAGACTGAGAACGTGTGTGCGTGGTTCACAATGGATCCCCGAGACTGGCCCTAGAGCTCCACCTTCGACTGATGGTTGGCCACCGCCCAAATGAGATGTTGATCAGGGTCTAATTGGCCGCGAGAATGGCATCCACCGAGACTGCTGCGTCTGATTTAGGGGAGAGGGAAATGGGTAGGGATTATTGTCTTGCAAATGGGCCGTGGGTTTGGGTTATTATTATTATTATTATTATTATTATTATTATTATTATTATTATTATTATTATTATTATTAAGGGCATTTATGTCTTTTAAACATATATTCAATTTCTATTCCTTAACCAACCAAACATTGGAATACAATTCCTAAAGTCTATTCCTTGGGCAAACCAAACAATAGAATACAAATCCTATTCTATTCCTTACCTATTCCATTCCTAATGGAATAGCATTCCTATTCCCTCCAAATTGATTCTGTGAACCAAACGGGCCGTAAGGGTTTTAGCCACTCATGGTCATAATAACAATCAATACAATCTTTAAAGATAAACAAATAACAATAGGAATAAGAGAAAGAGTGAGAATTCTCCCGAATCTTCCTAGCCAATTCTCTACTCCAAAGCTAATTGTAAATCTTCAAATTGGTCTTCTTGGTTATTGCTCTTCGTTGCCTTCCAATACCAAAATCTGGGAAAAAAGAGAACCCTAGGGTTGATGGAAGATGATCCTTTTATAGCGAGAACCCAATGAGATTATTTTAGGAAAATTCCAAATTTCAATATTCCGCGTTCTCGACGCGTCGAACCTCTAATCTGGCACGTTCTTGTAGCTATTGGAAATTCTTGATGCGTCGAGCAGCGGGCTCGACGCGTCGAGGCGTTGATGCTTCGACTTCTTCATCTTTTTGATCCAGTCGTGCTTAAAAATCTCCCCTTGGTTTTACACTTAACCTGTAATGGTGAAAAACACTACCAAACACCGTAAGACATTCAAAACAAGTGTAAAACAATGTCCTAATGAGAAAATAAGGGAAACACGAATTAAATAGCTATAAAAACATGCACAAATGTGATAACATCACCCCCTCACACTCAAGACTTTGCTTGTTCTCAAGCAAAACAACTAGGCAAAACCACAGGTCAAACACTTAAAATCACTCCCACTTTCTCGTGCACAACTTAGCATACCACAAGCCAACTCACTGCAAGACACATGCTTCCAGAATCATCTCTGCTTGGCACACGCGGGCCGTTCCCAAGCCAATATACAAGTACCCAGATTATTAGTAATGAGTAATCTAGTATGCACATGTACTCAGTTAGGTTTGTGCAGAACACGCACCAGAAAAACATCCTAGGCTTGCCGTTCCTACTCCTCCTGTATAGAACTAAAGTTTCATGCAAAGATCAAGTAGGTCTTTATTAAGCTTGTAATGGGGCTAAGGGTCATGGCTTATAACAAAAAAAGGGTATGGAATAATAACAAAAGAGAGAGAATGACACAATTATCTATAGCTTTAAATCTTAGAAGAGATGAACCAATGGTGAATAAGGGAGCAAAAAACAACTCATCAATACTATAACAACTCTGAAGGATATGGGGGTTTATGTAAAGAATTTCCTCAATCAAAATTGGGAAAATGGCACTTTTTCCCCCTGAGTTATATACTTATAGCCCTTTTTCCTCCTCAATTATTTAGGTAAGCACATTAGCCCCCTCAATTATTCTAAAAGTGGTGGTTTTTTCCCCTGATATATTAAATTGACATTTCTACCCTTAAAGTAAACATTTTATTTATTTTACTTCTCCAACAAATTATCGCGTATACGTAGGGATGACCACGGTTCGGATCAAACTGAACCGAACACTATAGAAATTGAATTAAAAGTTTCCGGTTATGATTCAGATCTAGAACCTAATATTTGGATTTCAATTTATTAAAATTATGAATCAAAAAAATTGGATCTTGAACCGTGAATTGGCAGTTCTGGATCCGGTTCGCGATTTTGAACCGTCTTTATTTTCAAATTTTATTTTTTATTTTAAATATTCTAAATTCAAAAATAAATGAATTTTATTTTTTCAGTTCGGAACATGAACCGTCCATTCCGGTTCGCGATTTTAATAAACTCTAAATATCGAGTTTCGATTCTAAATTGTAATTGGAATATTTCGGTTTGGTTGCTATAATGTTTGTTTGGTTTGAACCAAATTATGGTCATAATTTGTTGGAGAAGGAAAATAAATGAAATATTTATTTTAAGGGTAAATATGTCTATTTAACATTTCAGGAAGAAAAACAGCCACTTGAATAATTCAGGGGGGAAAAGTGCTATAAGTATATAACTTAGGGGGAAGAAGTGCCATTTTCCCATCAAAATTTGATTTGAGTTTATTTGGAATATAGAAAGACAATCTTTTTGGTTTTTTTTTTTTTGTTTTTTTTTTTTTTTTGTATAACAGAGAATCGACACTACAAACTAAACAAGAAATGAACTGGTTTAATCGAACAAGTAATAACCCCAAACTTCACTTTTTCTGGAACAAATTAGCTTTTTAAAGTAAGCTCCAAAAGAAATCTCTTCTATAAGATTTTTAAAGACAAAAGCTACATTCTCTCCAGGGTGGAAGGATAATATCTGGCCAAGGGCTAAGGGTTATAATAATGGGGGTAAATCAAAGAAAAATAATCACAAAGAGGGAATAAGTGCTTAGCACTTATTTAACAAAATGAAAGGCACAAAGGGGACACAAAGGATAAAACATATGCAGGGACATGTTTAAAGG